ACAGTGAATCCTAAGTCCAGCTGAGAAGCTGCCCTGGGAACAGTTCGCTGTGTATTTCTGTGAAGCTACTGCAAAGAAAAAGATGTCAGGTCCTTATTCAAGGAGAAGCAGAGGGGTTGGAGAGCCGGCTCTGTCCGCAAAGAGCTTTCTGTGCATGAGGACCTGGGTTTTATCACCTGCATGTGTGTAAAATAAACTTGGTGTGGTAGTGTCGGCCTATGCCTCGGCATCAAGGAGGCAGAGATGGGAGGGTGCCTAGGGCTTACTGGCCAGCCAGTCCAACCAAATCCACTGCCACAGATTCAGAGACACATCCTGCTTCAAAGGCAAAGATGGAAAGCAGCTGAGAACAACCTGACAGCGGCCTCTGTTCTCTCTCTCTCTCTCTCTCTCTCTCTCTCTCTCTCTCTCTCTCTCTCTCTCACACACACACACACACACACACACACACACTCACATGCACACACATGGATCTGCAGGCATGTATGCACACACACAAATACACAAAAAACAAACTTAAAGGTGCTGAGATATAAAGGTTTTTTTCTTTAAAAATATTGTACAGTTCATAAAGAATGATGGGGCAGTAGTGACTTACATATAAATAGACTTATAAAATTATGACAATATGCACTATCATAATTGTGTATAACACAGTAACTAATACTTTATTAATGAGACATTGTCATCCTGTTTCTGTCTTGCTTTTCTGGAAACTCAGGTATTAAATGATCAAAATTTAGAATGACTTTATTTCCTTTTATAATGCAAAAGAGCACTTTCATTGGCTACTTAATATAATTACAGAATGAAGTACATTTTGATCCACACATGCAGTATGTATTGGTCAAATCAAAATGATCAATGTTTGCATCTCATCATCACTGCAATGTATATTCATCAGATAGGTAAGGGGTGATCACCAACTGCAGGTGCCCACCACACTGTTCAACACCAGAACTTATCACCTGCCCTCCCTCCAGTTCCCCTCCCTTCACATCCTTTCAGATACTAGGAGCCACTGTAGCGATGTTTTGTTTTGTTTGTGATCTAACAAATAAAGCTTGCCTGAAGATCAGAGTGTAGAGCTAAACCACTAGCTAGCCATAGAGGCCAGACAGTGGTGGCACACACCTTTAACCCCAGCACTTGGGAGACAGAGGATGTGAGTTCAAGGCCACCCTGGGCTACAGGAGACTGAATCTGTCTAAAAGAAACAGAGCTCAGACAAAGGTGATCCCAGCACTTGGGATCCCATGCCTTTACTTTCAGCACTAGGGAGGTAGAGGCAGAAATGATGTGGCTGGGCAGAAAGAGGGATATAAGGCAGGAGGAGACAGGAGCTCAGATGCAGTCTGAGGAGTCATAGAGACAGCATTTGGTCTGAAGATTCAGTCCAAGCATGTAGTCTGAGGTTTTTTAGAGACAGATTCAGTCTGAGAATTTGTAGAGACAGGATTGCCCCTTCAGTCTGAGCACTGGTAGAGGTAAGAACTCTCTCATGGTTGCCTGCTCTGCTTCTCTGATCTTTCGGCATTAACCCGTGTCTGACTCCAGGTTTTTATTATTAAGACCAAATAGAATTTGTGCTACAACCAATTGTTAGAGCTCCTGCCTATGAGTAAGAGCGTGTAATGTTTGTCCTTTTGTGTCTGACATTTCATTTAACACAACATCCTCCACTTCCATCTGTTTGGTACAAATGGTAGAATACCATTTTTGTGCTTGAATAATATTCCACTGTGCATATCCCTTGTTCATTCACTCGCCCACTGAGCGCATCTCAGTTAATTCTAAGGCTTCCCTGCCGTGAATTGTGCAGCACAGAAACATGGCCATACTGGTGTCTCTTTAATGTGCTAGTGTAAGTTCCTTTGGCTCTAAACCAGAAGTGGGATCGCCAGATCATACAACAGATCTATTTTTAAGTTTTGATGAATCTCCATATCATCCTCCATAAGTGCTAGGTTAATTTACATTCCCACCAATGGTTCATAAGATTCCCTATATTCTGTGGGCTGGCAAGATGGCTTAGTAAATAAAGGTACTTGTCACTAAACCTGATGACCTGAGTTCAATCCCAGGACCCACATGATGGAGAAAAAAAATCTCATTTCTGCAAGTTGCCATCTGCCATATACATGTCCACCGTTGTATATCACATGTACATACACATATCCACATGCAAATAAAAAATATGGCTTCTTAAAAAGATACCCTGTTCTCCATATCCTTTATCTTTAGCATGTCTCGGTTGCAAGCGGCCATTCTAACTAGTATAAGAAAATCTCTCACTGTGCTTTGATTTGTGGTTCCCCAATGGCTAATGGGATGGAGCATTTTCCCATAAATTTGAACACCTTCGTTTTTGGTTGACACAATGGCGAGCAACAACTCCACCTTGGCAAGGGAAAGATCAGAAAGGATCCTGGGTACTAAGTGTTTGTCTTCTGATATTATTGTTTCTAAGTTGTCAAGAATATCCTATAAATTATGATGTAAGAATACATATCTGATAAATTACCTTAAGACATAGCTTTCAGCTTACCTAGCACAGACCACTTTTATAAAAACAATTTTTCTAAAAAAGTGCTTAATTCTTCATGCAATTCAGTTTTGTGTAAATCTGGATTTATGCTTAAAAGCAAATTCTTAGGATGACATTTTAATGTCTCTTTTGCAATTCCCTGTGACTTGTGGAGGATGTACAGGAAACTGAGAATAGGGCCATAATTCAGAGCATCCCGAGGCATCAGACACCTGTATCTCCAGCTATAAAGAAGAGTCTCTCTAAATTCTTCTCATTAATAGTCAGATCATCCAGAGCATAATATAAAAATAATGTATTCAGGCTGGCACTGGGGAGGTGGAGGCAAGAGGATCTTGGACTTGCAGGGTAGCCAGTCTAGATGAACTAACAAGCTCCATGCTTGGTGACAGACTCCATCTCAAAAAATAAAAATAAAGCATGGAGAACAGTTGAGCAAGCCATGAGACGTTGACCTCTGGCCTCCACGTGCCTGAGGGGTGGCAATGATTTATCCTTCAACTTTCACTTTGCAGCTAAGGCTCACAGAACAGTGAGACACGCCTGTGAGCAGAAGGGATGTGTGCCAAGGGCTCCTGTGAGGATCTGAGCCACTGAGTCATCTCTCTAGCCCACACCTGGCTTTTTCATGTGGGTACTGAGGATAGAACTCGGTCTTCATGTTTGTACAGTTGATTCATTTCCCCAGCCCCAAAATCACTAAAATTTTCAAGAAGATGAAAGCGGGGCATGAAACCAAACACCTGACTCCTTCTGAAAGACGAGCCCTGTGTGCTGTGCTGTGTCATCCCCACCGGTCCAGCCCTGCCTGAGGCATCACCCTGAACGTTACAGTCCGTCCTGGCCAGAGCCCTCTACCATCCTGCAGCTTCCATTCTACAGAGCTACCATGTCAGCCCGCCCTGCAGAGCTGCGTTGCTGCGTGGCTTCACCTCCCTTGACTGTATCAAGCAGGTTCCCCTGCTGATTTCTTCAGAACAAAACCTCAGTCCATCTTCCCTTGACTTCTAATGCATGCCTTGCCTGAAAGAGTTCCTGCCATACTTTCAAACATCCCCCTCTAATGGGCCCACCCTTGCCTCTGTCACAAGCTCTGTTGCCTGACTTTGCTGGGCTCCAACTTGATGTTTTCCAACGGCAAGAGGTTTGGGTTTAAAAATAAAAGGGACTCATAGTTGTGATAAGAATTAGCCAGCAGCACTGACTAATGGAGGTGCGTGTGGATGAATGACTAAGCAGAGAGTGGGCCAAGTCGCTATTATAAGAGAAAGTTCACTGCGATAGCAAGCAAAGCGCCCTGCTTTTCTGGCCCGGGTCCTGATCCGGCTCTCACTGCTCCCCATTTTCCTGGAATTGTCAAATTATAAATAAGAACTTTGATATGTCCCTTTAAAATAATTGTGCCTTGAGATGATGGCAGCTACTCTCTTCAATACCCAGTCGATGTCAAACCCAGTGTAGGGCATGTCCCCAAAAAACATTTACTCCCATGGTACTCCTATAAGCCATCAGATCCCCTCCCCAAAAAGATATAGGCCAAAACATTCAGAAAGCCTGGGTCACAATGACCCAAGATGGCTCTAGGCCTGCTGATAAGATAGCTTAGGGTGTGTGGTCACAACCAAAGTGTCAGGTTATGTGAGGCCATCAAGCAACCTAGAGGTGTAAGCTGTCCTGCCAGCAGGGTGAATGGCTCAGGAGACTTTCCATAGCTGTCTAAGAGAGTGGATAAATGTCAGCAAACAGCTGGGGGCCCCTAAGCTAGAGGGTTATGTATGGTTCACGTGGTAGCCATAGCAGCTAATGTGGGCAGGCTGCCACCAGCTAAAGGAACCAGGGTGCACATTCCCTTGAGAGTTAGCTTTACAACTAAGGAAGCCAGGACTCAAGAAGGTTAATAGGGTTCCTTAAGGTAACACAGTGGAGCTGCACCCCATACTCCAGTGGACAGTCTCATACCCGTGCACACATGGGCAGCATTAACTGGATTTAGCAGGTATTTTTTTAAGACATTAAATCGGGAGGGGGAAATGGTAAGGGGATAAGTAGGGAGTTGGGGGGAGAGAGAAGATAGATCATGTTTCATTATATGCCTTATGAAATCTCAAGAATAAAGAAAATAATCATAATGTAAATAATATTAGTAAAAATATTAAGTAAAATGGACATTTTCTAAATGAATAATGAAAGAAGCAAAGAGAAAATAATAATGAAATCCTGTCGGGATCTCTGATACTGCAGAAACAGAGCATTAAGTTGTAATGATTTCCTGTGACATGCAAATCACAACAGCTCAAGCAATTTTTAAAATCACTCTAAATAAAATGCGCAGCAATGCAAAGACAAAACAATTTAATACTTCTGAGGCAACAGAGTAGGAAACCATTAAGAGTCTTTGTTTTTCACCGTTAACCCACTGTGTTACTATGAGAGCAGAGAAGTCCATACATACAGTCAAAGCACTACAGTTCCTGGCGTGGAGTCTGGAATCAGAGCCATTTCTGGCCGTCCTCACTGGTGGTGAGCAGCCTGAGGGCGTGTGCAGGGCTCAGCGCGTGTGCTGTGTGTTCAGGGCTCAGGCAGCAGACAAGCCACAGTGCAGCATGGACACTGCCCAGACACCACAGTTTCTTCACACTCTGGGTTTGGAACTGATATTTTAATTCAAAAAAGGCCGCTGTGTGTCTTCAGAAATCTTTTACTGGTGCCAATTTTCCACAAGCCCCACATTCAGTTACACAACCCCATGTGGGTTTAGGAAGCTGGGTTCTAGCCTCTGTTTGTCTTGTTCCAGAAGTAATGGATTTCATTGATTCTGTGGGTGAGGACTTTGAGCAATTAGGAGCAACCAGGCCTTGCCAAGGACGAAAAATAAATGAGTGTGTCAAAATACCAACATCGTTCCTCACAGAGCTAGAGAAAGCCATCCTAAGATCTTATGAAGGTACCAAGGGCCTAGAATCACCAAAGTAGCCCCAAAGAAGAAAACAGTGCTGGAGGCATCGCAATATCAGGCTTAAACTAGGCCATAATATGGTGAACGTCTTTATAATACCAGCACTCGGGAGGTAGAGGCCGGTGGATCTCTGTGAGTTCAAGGCCAGACTGGTCTACAGAGCGAATTCCTAGAGCCAAGGCTACCCAGAAACCCTGACTCAAAAAAAAAAAAAAAAGCAAAACAAAGTAAAAAAATAATAATCCAATCAATAAATGAATGAACCTCAGCAGGTACTTCTCAAGAGAAAACAAGTGATCAATAAATACATGAAAAAAAATGTTTGACATCTTTAGCCACTGGAGAAATGTAAATCAAAACTACATGGAGATACTATCCACCTGACCCAGAATTACTACCATAAGGAGCTGTTGGAGAGGATTACACAGGCACTGCCAAAATACATCTGTGCTTACCCAGCACCGGTCTCAACAGCCACACTATGGAATTGGTCTGAGTGCCCATTAACAGATGAATGGCTAAGACAATATGCTATTTATTAAAAAAAAAAAATGGTGTATCATTCAGACCTAAGAAAAAGGGCAGGAGAATCGAGAGTTCAAGGTCATAATCATGAATGCATTGGAGACCATCCTGGGTCCCCAATGGAAATCCTCTTAAAGAATCGTGTTACCTCCTCCTGCCGTGTTGGTAATGAACCTGTGTCGGTTGTAACAGCAGCAAGGAGGGCAGGACTGCCTCTGCTAAGCCTCGTTCTAGTAATATGGTGTGAGATTTTGTCAAACATCGTTGTCAAGACTTAGAAACCTGTTTTGGGGGGGGGGGTTTAGGGGGCACGTGTCATTGCGGGCCCTTCATTCTCTGTGATTCTTTCGAGTTTGCAGTGACCTTTCTGTGATCGCATCTACAATTTCCCCCCAGCACCCTTGGAAAAATCCATCCGGGTTTGAACTCATCTAGCGCCTCTCTGCCCGGCTGCCTCTCATTCCTTAGATTTCAATTCCCTCTTAATCATGGTGCTTGTACCCTTTCCAGTTCTAAGGTTATTCTGTCTGATAGAGAACACAGAGGCGAACATCACTACCCTCCGTTGCTATTAACCGGTATCCCATCTGCCCCAGGCAACGTGCCTATCGTCGAATCCTCACCGCAGCTTGTTCCCTCAAAAATGACCTCAACCCAAATTTCTTTCTTCCTTTATTGGTTCAAAACGCTTTTTGCAAGCCGCCGCTCATCTAGGATTTACACATTCCAATTGTATTTGATGCGCCTGTGCCTCTCAGCTTTCCTTGCAGGTCAGATTGTCTTTACAGCTCTTCTTATTAGTGGCCTTTAAATATTTAAACTACGGACTGGTGATGGGGCGGTACAGAGCTTTGTGAGCATGCGCAAAGCCGCTGGTTCATCCCCCAACACACTGTATACCAGAAATAGTGACACGTGCCTGTAATCCCAGCATTTGTGATGAGAAGGCAAGAGGACCCACGAGTTTAAAGTCACCTTGGCTACACAGAGATAGAGGTTAATCTGGGCTACAGGAGACCCTGTCTAAATCAGTAAGTAAATGTCTGGATTCGTTTGGTTTCTGTGCTGTGACAATACACTGGTCGGATGTAACTTAAAGAGCGATGGTATTATCTGGCTTGCGGGTTAGCGCTTCCAAAATTGTGAGAAACCAAGAAAGGAACTTGGGGTCAGGAACTGAAGCAGAGATCACCAAAAAACGCTGCTTCCCCGCCTGCTCCCCATGGCTTCCTCAGTTGTCTTTCTTATACAACCCAGGGCTCCCTGCTCAGGAAGGGTACCGCCCACAGTGGACTGGGATTTTCCACACCAATCAATCGTGAAAACGCCTCCAAAGGACATTCGCACAGGCCAATTTGATGGAGGCAGTCCCTCAGCTGAGGTTCTCTCTCCCCGGGTGACTCTCATATGTATCGAATTGACAAAAACTAGCCAGAATACTAAATAAATAAGTAAACAAAAACCAACTATATACCCCTGCCTAGAATCCCTCTGAGTGGTCAGTTTGCACTGCCTAGAATCCCTCTGAGTGGTCAGTTTGCACTTCGACTTCCTCATCCAGGTTCTGCATGCTCAATCTTTCTCGGAGGCCATATCACTTTGTGTTAAAATATTAACATTTTCTTATTTCTTCTCCACATTGCTGGATGTGCATCTATAGCCATGTGTATTATTTTTGTCATATTTCACTATTTTCCTTCCTTTAATAACTGGACGCCTCCACTAAATGTTTTATTTGCTTGGTTTGGTTTGGTTTCTAATGTCAGATTCTTTGTCCATAGTTAACCTGATAGACTGTTTTTTTCATTTTGTCCTTGAATACCTGTTTAAAGTCACCTCAATCATGTGGACATTGTCTTGTTGGCATGCCCCTCCCCACCTCCAATGCATTGTTAATTGCTGCCAAGTCACCATGGATAAACACCGAGTTTCACGCCCACGTGAACAACCCTTGCAAACTCCCTTTGTGTCACTCAGAGAACGTCAGTGTCCTGTCTTTAACCTGCATAACCACCCAGTTCCTACTTCTTGTCATTTTATGACAGCTAAATCAGAGGAATCTGCAGCAGTCCCCACAAACGACCCGTCAACCCATCTGGCTTTACAGGAACAGCTTAGTTGGTTCTTGTTTCTGTCTATTGCGTTTGTTCCTAAACCACAGTCTACTCTCTGCCACTGTCTACGCAGCCAGAACCCTGCGCAGATTGAATCCAGTCTCCTCTGTTCTTATTCTACTGGCTATGAAGGAGCAAGCTAGGCATGCGGGTCTATTCAAGGCCTAGTCCCAAGCTCTGATGTCAACTGTAAGAATACTCACTGGTTCTCCCCATGAGATCTTGTTTTCTCAGAGTTGAAGACGCCAGAAGTTCAAGCCCAAATAACATCCCCCGATCCTTATTATTTATTATTATAAGGTTCAAGATCTATACTGCCTATCCCCTAGTTAAATGTTCTCAATTTCATATTTAAAAAACTATGAGCTTAACTTTCTTTTTTATTTATTTTTATTTTATGAGTATTAGTATTTTGCCTTCATGTCTATCTGTGCAAGGGTGTCCGGTCCTCTGGAACTGGAGTTACAGACAGTTGTAAGCTGCCACATGGGTGCTGGGAATTGAACCCAGGTCCTCTGGAAGAGCAGTCAGAGCTCTTAACTGCTGAGCCATCTCTCCAGCCCGAGTTTCACTTTCTTAATAAGCAAATTGGACACAGTTAGTATTCTATAGATTTGGTGTGAAGATTAAATAAAAATAAACAAAGCCAGATGTGATGGTGCACACCTGTAATTTTAGCACTTGGGAGGTGAAGGCAGGAGAATTGGGAATTCAGTGTCAGCCTTGGCTACAGAGAGAATTCAAGGGCTTTTCAGACTAAATAAGACTGTATCAAGAAAACACACACACGGGCTGGAGAGATGGCTCAGTGGTTAAGAGCATTGCCTGCTCTTCCAAAGATCCTGAGTTCAATTCCCAGCAACCACATGGTGGCTCACAACCATCTGTAATGAGGCCTGGTGCCCTCTTTAGGCATGCATGTAGACAGAATACTGTATACATAATAAATAAATAAATAAATATTTAAAAAAAAAGAAAACACACACATACACACACATATATACATAATATATATATATTATGTATATATGTATGTATACTCAGACCCTGGCATGTATGCATGCACAAACATACAATACATACACATTCATGTGCACGTGTGTACATTTACACACCTGCAGAGTCAGTAAGTTGGTAGCTTCTATTACTCTTCAGACAGCTTTATCATTCTTTGATTGGTGATTTGTTTATGTCAGCAGATCTATGCTGTGTACCCTGCCCCCAAAGACCCAGCAGAGGAACAAATACGGGGCAAACGCCCTTCGTTGGCTTTGCAGCCCTGGTGAAAACTGAGCAGTATTGGCAGTTCTAAAGCAGAGAATTGGAAGTGATGAGGACATAGCGAAGCTCCCACTAGTCACTGGTACTTGCTAGGGACAAAGAAGTCCCAAAATGGCCATCTTGTCACCCTTCCCAAACAACAGACTTGTTCAGATGAGGACTTGAGGAACAGATGCTGGAAAAGAGGATCACTCGAGAAGGCAAGTGGCTGAGACCTCAGCACGCTTCAGGGTTTTCCATCACTGAGAGTTTTGGAGTCTCAGCTGAACCATCATTTCTCCAGCTCAAGGGCATTGCATCTAACTTAGGGACAGAAAGGACCATTAGCTCATGGGCTGAAAGGCAAGCTCGGTGAATTCCATGCATTGTTCTCTTCTGACACGGGGGCCACATTGGGAGCCCATATTTCATTGTTTCCTCCAATTTATGAGACAAGCCTTGGCCCTAAAATCAGTGAGAGTGAGAAATGAGTCCAGAGAGAAATATGTGGTTTGAATCCAACTGTTGAAACGGGAGGATTTGTGGGTAATTAGTTCATTTGCTCCGGGGGTTGGACTGGAAGGGCCCAGGATTAAAGCCCAGCTTTCACTCTTTGTCCTGGAGCGCCAATTCCCTCTCCCAAGCCCTAGTTAATTTAATGTCTATATTTTACTAAATCACTACCTAGTCCTCAGAGCCCTCTCTCCCGTGCTATTTGACACCTACGAATATTTTAAAGGAAAAGCAATAATAAGAAATTATACCTACGTTCTCCGGTCATACATACCTAGCCCTTTTTTTAACTCCCAAATATTTGGTCAC